ACCCCTTCTCAATGCTCTTGTCTAGGGCATTTGCACTGGCCACCAACTGCCTGCACAGCACCTGCCCAGAAACCTTGGCTGGTGACTCATTGTGTCCTTCCAACCTTCCTCAGGGTCACCCCCTTAGGGCAGTGCACACTGACCATAATGGTGAAAAAGCCAGCTGCCCCAACACTCTCACTAACTCTGAACAACCTTGCCCAGCACTGGGTCTGGCCAACAGAAATGTGAGCTGAGTGATGTGCATGTTGTACCTTACAGCTGCCGTGGATTCATTAGTGGAGCCTGAGAAAGAGGACAACTGTGGCCACTACAGAGTGGAGTCCTCTCCCGCTTGTGTCCATGCAGCCTGTGCTTTCTCACAAATGTCCTCTGCCCTCCTGCCTCTCCTCCCTCCCCTACTGCCTCCTGCACACACAGAGGTGAAACCTACCAGAGCTCACACACAGGAAGAGCAGGTGCAATAGGCCAACAACACTAAGGAACAGAATGAACACAGGAAGACGGGAGCCCACGGCTGAACCCAAGTGTGAGCTTTGACTGTCACTACCTCGTCCAGCCTCCACTGACTTCAGGTCTGTGAGACAAGGCAAGCCTAGCTGAGTCCTGTGATGGCAGATGTTGGTGGGCACGTCCTGTCATAGAAGGCAGGACACTGGGGCAGCTGAGCCGGGTCAGCAGTGACCACAACAAAGCCTGATGACTGACAATGCCTGGACACAAGCTTGTCCTCACCAAGAATCTCCCAGTCTCTCCTGTCTCACCTGCAGCCGACACAAGACAACAAACACATGGTTTCAGGAAGGTTCTTGGTGCTTCTGTTTATTTTTTCTGTCCAATTTTTGAAATTTTCTTTAAAATTTCCCATGAACCACTCATAATTGGAACTGGGAAACACAGTTTGCTGTTCAGATTTGCACAGGGAAGAATGAAGCTGCAGCAGGTGCACCTGACTTGAGACAGGGACAGAGGTGCCCATGCTTGGCTGAGATGGCCAGGCTCCCACCTCACATTGTGCCCACAGGAACACACTCAGCTGCCCTTGCAGGAAGGTAGGGCAGGGCTTGTTGAAGACACAGAAGTGGAGACGTGAGCAAGGTTCTATCCCTCAGTCCCAAACAAGGCAATTGTCTCACACTACAGAAACAGGGTGAAAAATTCTAGTCACTGCATGTGGGGACAGGAATAGCCCAGCACACATGAAATTCAGTAAATGCAAGGAATCCCCAGCCCCTCTGTGTCCCCTTAGTCTGCCCCCTTTCTCCTCCAGGCCCTCCAGGTCTCACCTTTCAAGCTGTGAGAGAACAGTCAAATCCTTGGGCACTGCCACACCTGAGAGAACAAATTAGGACTTGGTGAGAGCCCCTGGAGGTGTGGCTGAGGGAGGAGCTACAGGGTGGGCAGGGCAGCTTCTCCATGGGCATCTCTATGGCAAGGGTTTTGGAGACTACCCCACCCCCAAACACACCCAGGTGCTTACCTGCAGCCTTGATGTAGCTCCCTGCTTTCCCACCTGTGAGAGAAAACAAGTAGTGAGAGGCAGGGAGAAGGCAGGGGCTGAGGACCTGCCTAGAGGAAGTCGAGGGGACTGGGTCATCTCAGAGAAGATTCCAGAACTGTCACTACAGACCAAGGAAAGGGTCAGAAGGCACCTCTCCTGGAGGTGTGTCCTCAGCTGGGACCTCCTCCTGACCTGCAGCTGTTGGAACTCAGGTCCCTGCGAGCAGAGTCATCCCCGTGGAGTGTTCATGATGCACCTAACTTGTGCTTTCACACCAGAACCAGTGTGAGCACTTGGGGCCCAGCTGGGGATGTAGGTGTGTGTGCATGGTGCTTTCCAGGAATGGGGTGGGGGGGACTTCTTTCTGGGGGACAGGAGACTCAGACCCAGCCCTCACCCTGCCCTACCTGAGCGCTTCCTCTTTATCATCACAGCAGCGACCACAACTCCAATGAGCACAGCTGCCAGGAGGTTCAGGCCAGCGATGACTCTCCACACAGATATGGTGAACCGAGGAGGCTCTGAGAGGGGAAGGGACAATAAGGGGCTCTGACCCCAGGTCTCAGCCCTGCCCCTGCTGCAGGCCCTCCCCTTCCCGTCCTCCTTACCCCATCTCAGGGTGAGGGGCTCAGGCAGCCCCTCATGGTATATGTGGCATGTGTATCTCTGCTCCTCTCCAGAAGGCACCAGCACAGCTGCCCACTTCTGGAAGGTTCCATCCCCTGAAGGCCTGGTCTCTATCAGGTCTGTGTCCTGGGTCAGGTCCTCCCCATCTCGGTGCCAGGTGAGTGTGATGTCCTTGGGGTAGAAGCCCAGGGCCCAGCACCTCAGGGTGGCCTTCTGGTCAGAGACTGGGTGGTGAGTCACATGTGCTGTGGGTGGGTCTGAGAGGAGATTTGGACAATTCAGGCCTTTCATGCTTTTCATGTGACACCAAAGCTGCACTCAGTGACCATCTAGAGAATGGACAGGAAGACAGGGATGGGGGAGACCTGGCCTGGATAAAGATAATGGCATCATCTGTTGTTTGCAAAGATTAGAATCAGGTATGGTTCAGGCTAGGAGGACCTGGGTCTCTTATTGGATTATACGGATTTGGTCTTGTCCTGAGTGTAGGCTGAGAGACTGAAAAACCTGGAGTGAATCCTCCCAGTGCATTGGTTTGAGGTTGGGGGACAGGCCTGGCAGGGGTCACAGATCACAGGACCCAGTGGGAGTCCAGGGCACCAGAGTTTCTTTCAGACTCTTCTGTGCTTCCACAATCCAGGTCCCTCTTCTACATTTAGTGAAGGGCAGTGTCCCAAAGTCCTGGAGGACATTCCTGCTGTGGTGGTTTGAAGAGGAGGACACAGGCCTGGGCCCCACTTTCCTCCCCTCTTCCACAGCCCCAGCCCTAGCCCTTGGGGAGATGGGTGAGGGCAGCCCCTGCCAGCCTTGTGCACCTGTGCGGTTTAGTGTCTTCTTCCCCAACTCCAGGAATCTGCTCAGCCACTTCACACAGTCCCCCTCCAAGTGGTCCTTGTGCTGCGCAGCCACAGCTGCCTGGTCCCACTTGCGCTTGGTGATCTGAGCTGCTGTGTCAAAAGCAGTCCAGGTGCGCAGGTCTTCATTCAGGGAGAGGTAGTCATCGCCATCATAGGCGAACTGCGTGTATCCGCGGAGCAAGCGCCCATCTGCCCCGACCTCGCAGCCATAGACATGCTGGAACGTGTGAGAGACTGTCCCAGGCCCGCGGTCAGCCCCGGCCACGCAGCTCCGCCCCGCCCTCACCGACCGCGGGGATTTCAGCTGAAACCCAAAATGAAACCCGGGTGCATCCCGCGGGCTCCTCCCGCCGAGGGTCTCCGCGGGGCGCGCAGTCTCGGGGTGGGGGGATCTCGGTCCCGGGGACCCGGAGCGCCCTGGGCGCACGTGGGGAGGGTCGGGTCACTCACCGGCCTCGCTCTGATTGTAGTAGCCGGGCAGGGTGTTCAGGTAAGCCCGGAAAGTTTGTTTATGCTCCTTAGCGAGTTGTGTGTGGCTGTCCCAGTACTTCTGCTCCACCTGCATCCACGGCGCCCTCGGTTCTGCCCTCGGGTTCTCGGTGTCGCTGTCGAAGCGCCCGAACTGCGTGTCGTCCACGTAGCCCACGGCGATGAAGCGGGAATCCCCGAGTTCGGGCCGGGACACGGCGGTGATGAAATACCTCAGGGAGTGCGAGCCTGGAGGAGAGAGCAGCTGAGACCAGGGCCGACCCCCACCCGGATTAAGAGGCGATGGTGGTAAAGTTGGCTGGGGAGGAAGGGTCCGAGGATTCATGGGACAGAATAGGAAGGATGGCGAAAGGTCTGGGTGAGGGGAGGGAGGGATGGACTAAAATTGGGACGTCGACACTGGGGGCGGCATTGAGGCTGCTCCCCGAGGTCCTGTGTCCCCTCCACGCGCCCCCCTCGCTCTCCTGCCCCGCAGAGCCTGTCTCCCTCCCGACCCGAACTCACGCGCCCGGGTCTTGGTCAGGGCCAGGGCCCCCGCGAGCAGGAAGAGGGTCATGCTCCCAGGGATGCCATTCATCCAGTCTGTGGAGATTGATTCCTGTGGCTTGTTTCTGAGAGTTTAAAAGAGATGGATTGGCTTCCTCTGGAAGCGCTTGCCTAATGGCAATGTGAGGTTTGTTTGCGTCAGGCGTGTCTGGGCAGAAGGAGCTCACTCAGGCTGTGAGAGGGGAAGTGACCCTGGAGGAGGTGGGGACTTCCCTGCACTTGCTTCCCTGACCCAGACCCGCCCTGGGACTGAGACCCTGAGGGCCAGGCGGGTACCAGGGACTGTGCCCTGACCCTGTGCCCTGACCCAGGCCTGTGTGATGTCCCCTCCCTTAGGATAGGCCCAGGGCCAGCTGAGGGATCCCGAGAGACCTGATGAGAACCCGCCCATTTTATTTGCCTGTTTCTGTGATTATTTTTGCCTAAGTCGTGTGAGTTTTATTGTTCGATTCACACCAGCAGTACATTAGATTTCAGGCAGCCCCACAGGATGCATTAAATGCTGAATGCTGGGATGCTGGATAAGCTCTGTGGATATGTATGTGAAAACCAGGACACAGACCACTAAGTATTGGACTTACTGCCTTAGAATCCTGATCTCTGCCCCTGTCCTCATCTCATTTCAGCCCTCTCTCTGTCACTTTATCTTCTCCCTGTGGTCCCCACATCCCCTCTGAGTCCTGAACTGGGGCACTAGCAGGGCCCCTCTCCTGCCACCCAGGGACAGTTATTCCCGCTGTGGTCAGCTGCCTTGTTATTGTGAGTCAGGGGGATCATTGCTTCATGAAAACAGCCCAGCAGCAGCATTTGCTGTGGTGCAGTGAGATAAATGCACTTGCAAGGTTAACATCACACATCCTGGGCTTCTTGGAGTCCAGGCTGTTCTACTTGCACCCACCTTCTTGTTGATGTACTGGGAAGGCAGCAGAAAATCCCCAAGGGATTTCTCACTCACTGGTTCACTCTCCAAAGGGCCACTATGTCCTGAGTTGGAGCCAGGAGTGCACAGCTCCATCTAGGCCTCCATGTGGTTGCAGGGACCCAAGCACCAGGTCCATGTTCCCCTGCTTTCCAGGTGAGCGAGCAGCGAGCAGGGCAGTCAGGAGTCACACAGGTGCTCTCATCTGGGGTGCTTGGATTGCAGGTGGCAGCTTAACCTGCCCAGCGCCACAGTGCCTTCCCTGACACTGCCTTTCATGTAAATAAACAAAAAGCAAAAAATGTACCTTTCCATGACCCACTCTGCTGGCTGCATCTCACTTTAGGGAAACCTCTAGAATGTAGGGCCCATAAGCATAGAGACTTAGGCTGTTGGTCAAAGCTGCAACTCCAGCACACACAGTCATCTTTGCTGACGTAGGTACTCAATTAATTCGAAGACCTGAACAAGATTATATTGTAATATAATTGTATAATGTGACAATTGTCTAATTGTCTCATGTGACAATCATAAAATAAATAGTGCAGCAAACATTGGAGAAGGTTTTGTCTCATGGGAGGAGTGTTCACTAGAGTTCATGAATCCCTCCAGCAAGGATGACACTTCCTGGGGTGTCAGGTGCACACTGGGACCCAGGTATTGCTAGCTTTCCATTCCTGCATCACAGGTACCACACCTGGTCGCTCAGAACCACACTCCTTCCTTGTTCATTTCATGTCAGACTCCAGGCCTGGTGTGGCCTTGCTCTCTGGGCAGGCTCTCACAGAGCTGAGTTGGTGTCTTGGTGTTGGAGTCCTCCACAAGCCTCCTTGGAGCTTGGGGCAGAGTCCAGCTCCGTGCAGGTGGAGGCCTGGAGTCCTGTTTGTGGGACAGCTGTCAGGGTGCAGGGAGGAGCTTCTCCCAGTCCCAGGGCACCACCTTCTCTGCCCCAGGGTCCTCCAGAGTCAGGGGCTTGCTGGAGAGAGGGGCATGTGTCAACTGGACTGCTCTCAAGCTGAGTCCCTCTCTTTATCTTGGTCACAATTCCCTTTACTCCCCTGCCTCTGTGTGAAGATTCAAGGTTTATTTTTAAATTTCCAGCTCCCACATGAAGGTGAACATGCGGTATTTGTCTCATTTTGTGGCTCATTGTACTCAGCATGATGTCCTTCAGTTCCAGCCATGTTGATGCAAATGATAAGACATCACTCTTGGTATAGCTGATTAGTATTCTGTTGTGCTGTATATTGTATTTTCTCTATCCATTCATTGTATATGATTTCCTCTTTCCTCATATCCTTGCCTGCAGTTGTTAAAAACCAGGCTAAACCCAACCGAACCAAACAAAATCATACCAGCCAATCAAGATATGGGGGAAAACATCGTAGGTCTGACAAGATCTCGAAATGACCCCTACATGGGAAATACTCAACAACACCAGCTGTCAGGGAAATGCAAATCAAGACCCCCAAGGTGTTGTCCCCTTGCTTCTGTCAGAATGGCTGTTACTGAGGGAGAGAGACGAACACATGAACCAGTGTACTGTGAGAACCAGGTTCATTGAAGGGCTACCTGAATGGGAAAGTCCAAAACAGAATAACCCTTGTCTCAGGGCCAGCTGATAGAGACGTTCATTTCGTTTTTAAAATCCCTTTCCAGTGGCATCTACAACAGCAGTTGATTGACATAGGGTTGTGTGCAATTGTCCAGAGGTGTGTGTAGAGCCCACTATAGGATCAGGCTGCCTGTCATAGCTCTTTCTTTGACGTTACAGAGTTCAGGTTGAAAATGGAAGGTCAGATAGATTATTTTGAACAGTAATGATTGCTTTAGGAAGCCAAAGGACATGTTTATCATCTTTCTATTAGAGTCACTAAATTGCAATAACTCATGCTGTTTGGAAGCTGTTTCAGTCATTATGGCACATAATAAATTTTCCAGAATTTAACATCTGGAAGCAACAAATGTTTATTGTATTCCACTATTTTACATAGAACTATTCATGTGTTTTCATCTACTTGGTACAGCTTCTGCTGTTCCTCTCCCAGATGCCACAGCAGCTGGAGCTGGGCCAGGCAGGAGTCAGGTGCCCAGGACCCGGCCCAGGCCTCCCTGGTGGGTGCAGGGGTCCAGGTCTCCAAGCCTTCCTCTGCCTCTTCCCAGGAGGCACCAGCAGGAAGCTGGGTCCTAAGTGGAGCAGCCAGGAGGCAAATGGGGCTCTGAGGTGAGATTGGGAGTCCCAAAGGGAGGGGATCAAACTTCTGCTACCTGCCTGCCAGGCCCTGGTCTCTGAGGTCAGGAAGTAGGGAGGTTGACTGAGGCTTCTGCTCAGATCAGACAGTCCCAGTGGAGCTGAGCCAGGGCTGCCCCATCTGAGGCTGGGCTGGGCAGGCAGGGCTCCCCTGTGGCATCCTCTGGAGTCTGGTGGGTGGAAGAGTCCTTTCCTCAGGGCTGTGTGTGCCAAGGCAGATGGTTTTATAGAGTTGGTGCAAGAGTGTGTGTGTGTGAGAGAGAGAGAGAGAGAGATTCAGAGAGAGAGAAATATCCTGAACCAGAATCCACGCTAGGCCAGCCTCACACTCAGAATTGGGATGTTAAGTCCCATGTATCCTGATCTACACACACATGATTACTGTATGTGTTTCTGGACACTGTGGCATTATAATGCATGTGTGCAGTGTGTACTGATCCATATGGTCAATTATGATTTTCATGTCCTTTTCATTACATTATTTTCTGTTTATATTTTGAAGATTTATTTCTGTATTGGAAAGGCAGAGTTACACAGGGAGAGTGAGAGCTGCACAGGCTGACACTGACCAGGTCAGAATCAGGAGCCTGAGCCTTCATCCAGCTCTCCCCCGTGGGTGACAGGGATCCAAGCCCTTGGGCATCTTCCATTAACTTTCCGTGACACAGCAGGAAGCTGGATGAGAAATGGAGCAGCCGGGACTTGAAGTGATGCCCATATGAGATGAGTTCTGGGAGCTCTGCCTGCTGCCCCGCAGTGCTAGCTCCTGTTTGCTTGTTTAGCGTCCACATAAAAGGGAGAACAGGAAACATCTGTCACCCCATGTCTGACTTCTTTCATTTAGCATAAGTGTCTTTCAGCTCTATCCATTATGCTGCACAAGATATTCGTTTTAACTAAGACTTGTTTATTTGAAAGACAGAGTTAGAGAGAGAGACACAGAGAGAGAGAGACAGAGAGAGAGAAGAGGACAGGAGGGATGGAGAGACACATTGTTTCATCTTTTGCTTACTTCCCAAATAGCTGCATGGCAGGAACAGGGTGGGTGTGATGCAAGGAGCCAGGAAATTCTTCCAGGTCTCCCATATAGGTACAGAAGGCCAAGCACCTGGGTCATCTCCCACTCATCCCAGGAGCATTAGCATAGAGCTGATCAGAAGCAGAGGATCCGGGACACGAGGTAGCACCTGAATAAGATGCCAGCATCACAAGCAGAGGCTTTACCCACTGCACAACACTGATCCTTATCTCTCATCTTTTGATAATCATCCATCAAGCTGCATGTGTCTAGAGCTTATTGCTGTTCTCCTCTTCCTCAGATTAGTAGGTTATTTTGTCATTTGAATATTAGAAATAAATATTATAATGTGGAATCTGGATCAGTCATTGGACATCTCTGAGGTCTGATTTTTTACCTGGGGAACTGTTGCTTCTTTCCCCACATCAACTGTATCAAATTAGTTCTGACATCCTTGTTTCTGAAAGTGGTGGTCTGTGGAGCCACAGCAGTGGGATTATAACAAGCTCAATGTCGTGATTGTTCTCCCATCATCTTTAATTGGGTGTTAGATCTGTTACAGTATGAAAGGATTCAGTGACGATGGAGTTCCTCACAGAGGGCTGGTGGGCCTGGAAGGCCTGGGTCAGGAACACAGGGTGTGCCCTCCACATTGGCCTCTCCAGTGGTACTTGTGCTGCCATTCATGCTTGAGTTCCTTGTGTGAAAGGCACTGGCTGAAAAGCACGTAGTCTGCCAGCACCATGTTCATGCTGGCGATGTTTGTCCTCTTTACGTTGATGTACTTGGTATAACACTGGTCATAGCCTTTTATGAAATGCTCCACTGATGCCTCAGTATCCAGCTCGGCAGCTCTGTGAGTTTGACATCCATAAGTTTCTTCTCCTTCAGAGGCATGACTGATGCCATCTTGGAGTCCTGGTGTCCCCTTAGTGTCATTTCTTTCAAGTATTTTTTTCTTA